GTATTATTGAGGTTATGATCTCCTGTTCGAACCAATTTCGGGGAGTCCCCTCTGTGGTTGGCAGTTTAGGTGTATCGATTGCAAGATATGGGCTCATTACTGCTGTCAGATGTTATTTCTGCACCCCACTCTCTTTATCCATCCATCTGTCTGTCTGTCTATCTGTCTGTCTGTCTGTCTGTCTGTCTATCTGTCTGTCTGTTTATCTATGTCCTTCCGTCCGTCTGTCTATCCATCCATCAATCAATCAATCAATCAATCAATCCGTGTCTGCGCGCCTCTCTGTGTATGAATATATCTATATTTACTTGTCTGTCAGTCGATCAGTCTGCGTATCCTGTCCGTCTGTCTAGTGAATACTAGTTCGGAATAGGTGTAGGGGGAGGTTGTCCGTGTCCCGCAGTTTGGTGAGAGAGAGTGAGGAAAGCCACAGGACCTCAGAATGCCGGAACTCTGGGGTAAGACTTGAACACTGCAGGAATGCTACCCACTCTACTGCTACGTTCTGTGGTCGGTCCTCGAATGGGATTCTCAATGTTCGAAGGATATGCACGGGGTCAAAGAAATATATACCATATTAGTTGAAAAAAAGGTGACCTCCCCCTGTTTTTCCGATGTGAAAACCGGAAAGCGTTTATTATTTTTTTTTTTACAAAATTGAATATGTCGTTCAGTTCTCAGGGTTGTAACAAAATACGTGGAATTTATTCCATTAAGGAATGAAACAAATTCAGATTTAATCCCTTAAACGTAATTCTAGATATTTCACAAGTATCATCAGAATTAGCAGTTAGAGCCACTCATAATTATCTTCATATTTATTGTAAGGATCCTAAAATAAGGCAACCCCCCTTTTTTTCTGAGAGTCAGTATTCGAAAAAGGAAACCCCTTATATTCGGGCTATTACGGTGTATAGCAAGGAGTTCAAACAGCGATGGGCTTACGTCCTGGATGGTCTGGTTCCATTGTCGGCAGGAGAAAGAAATTGTTCCCTACTCCACAGCTAACAGATTGGCTCTGGGGTACATCTGCAGTGGGTACCGGGGATAAAGCGACCGGAGCGTGAAGTTGACCACTCATATGTAGTGTCCAGTTCAGGAATGTTGGAGCTACACCGTATGTGTTCGTAGGGCGCGTGTTACAAATCTTGGTTCTATGTAGAACTGATGCTGTGTAATGCAGTTAATTTATCCGACTGAAATTCCTGGGCCAGAACACGGCTATGATGAATGCTGAAAGGATCGGCTCGTGTAGCAGAGGAGGGACGTTTCCGTTCGGGGTCTGCTTGCTGCAGTACTGAGACTCGATACCTGCAGATGCACTGCCTTGGGTTGGATTGTGGAGACAGCGCAACAGTGGAACAAGTGTTACGTGCTCGGCGCAACATGCTTCCTAAGGTGTCCCCAGTCACCGCCATTAGATAGTAACCTGCGCCAGTTCAGTCCACCACTTCTCGGTTTGCTATCCTATTAAATTAATGCTCCACATTTTTGGAATTACGATTCGAAACTCGGATTTCGATTTGCGCCATATTGTAATGATCTGCGGTTGTTAATTAACCAATTTTGGTAGGATTATTTTTTCCCGATGCCGGTCACGGTAGCCGAGGNTTGTCGCTTGCAGATTTCTTATACTTTTTTTCTTCTGCCCTGAAGATGGGGGCGATACGTTCCTCCGAAACGTCGGTTATCACCACATATACACGGTGCCAAATCCCAGAAGACTGCTTTCTTCATAGTCACCGCCGTGAAAGCCTCAAATCTTACAAGTTTTTCTGTGTTCGTATACAGGTAGAGGCTTTGGGACGAGCTGATCACCAGCCCAGGGTTTCCTGTCGAACGCCTAAAATCTAGTAAACCGAAGTGAAACAGAGAGTTTCATGGAGGTAGGCCAAGCCCCAAATTGGGGCTGTAGCAAAAAAAAAATCCCTATGTCCTAAGTTTGTGAAATTAAGTTAGTTATTTTAAATATTTTTATTTAAATGTTTAGGAAGCCGGGATAGCTCAGTCGGTATAGCGACTGGCTACGGACTGGACGACCGAGGGGTCCGAGTTCCGACTCACGGTGGGGGCAAGAATTTTCACGTCTCTACGTCGTCGAGACCGGCTCTGGGGTTCCACCCAGCCTACTATCCAATGGGTACCAGATGCTCTTTCCCCTGAGGTAAAGCGGCAGGGGCGTGAAGCTGACCACTTACCTCCAGTTAGTGCCAAGGTCAAGAAAAATGTGGATCTATACATACATTTCCACATACGCCTTCATGGCGTAGTGCTTAGTACAGTGCAGGGACAACTTTTACCTTCTACCTTTACTTTAAATGTTTAATGATGTAATTTTATGTACTCGTATTGATTCGATACAGAATATCGATTCGTAGAGCACCTTGAATTAAAATATCGAAGAAAGCTGAACAGCAGGAACGTAACGGATTCCGTAAAATGTGTGTTTCTTGACTAACTGGGCTACTGTCAGCTTCGCAAAATGACTCAGTTGCAGCGAGATGGCACAGTTATGTTCTACTCGAAGCAAAGCTAATGGAGAGTAGAGGTACTACACTCCTTAAACGAGTTGTTGGGTTCGAGGTTTTCACGGCTGTGGCTATTAAGAATATATACTTCTCGGTTGTGACGCCGTGTAGTTCAGAGAGATATCGACGTTTCGCAGGAACGTATTGCCTCCATGTTCACTGTCTGAGAAGGCAGCAAGCTGACTTCAGCTGAGGCGTTCCATACAGAAGACGGTACTCGTAATGTTTTTCAGTTACGCGAGAAAACTTGAATTTCGTAATTAGTACAATTATTGTGTTTGTGGGCATTATCAGTCGCCCTGCTTTTATTTAAAACACATCCTCTCCGACACGTTGTGTGTTTTAAATAAGCGGTACGATGGATTATGTCCACAAACAATAATTGTATTAATATACCATTGTCACAACTTTTAAATTTTTATTTCTATAGATTAGTAATAAAAAAAGGTAGAGCTATCCCTTTAAAATGCCGTGGAGGCCCAAAGGGTTGTGAGACGTCGAGGCTCCAACATATTATCTAGACATTCGGCAGGTTGTCATTATATTCCTGCTGCTCTTTAGCCCCAAGGTAAAAAAAAGGTAAAGCTATCCCTGAAACAGGCCGTGAAGGCCCATAGGGTTGTGAGGTTGTCAGCCTTACGTGCCGACCGCCTTTCACCCCCAAGAATATTCCTGGTACTCATTTCTGTTAGAGGCTGAGTCGACCCGAGGGTCATAGTGCGGCTGGAGGGATTAAAAAAATTAAAAATAATCCAGTGACCTCATCAGGAATCGAACCCCCGGCCTCAACCTACTACACCACTGCGTGCCCCCATTCTTAATTAGTGCTCTTGCTTACTTAAATTTGAATCTACCGTGTATTTTGATGTTGACAATGAAAGCAACCGTGTCCCGGACGTAGAACTAGTATACTTCTGCCTGTTAGCTGTATGACAAGTAATAACTCTGAAGCTGTGCTGTGTTTGGAACGTCATTTATGTTTTTATCATCTCAGTGTACAGGTGAAGTTCTGAACTGGCGTAAACTTTCAGGAGCTGAAGCTGAAGGGGTTCAGGACACACAGGGAGAGACATGCCTTTATCGAGATGGGACGGACGCTCCATTAGCATTCTGAATGGCAGCAGAGCTCTCTTGTTAAACTGCAGTCCTCTGAGAAGCTAATAAAATGCGTTCACCGGACCATATAAATGGACCATGTTTATGTCTTTGAGTTGCGAACACAATTTGTGAATGAAGGAGCAGGTTGTTTTAAGGGCGCTGTCAGTGTAAAAACCGTACATCATGGGGCTGCAGCAGTTGGTAGAATGGGAATTGGCAGGGGAAAGCCAGGTACTCGGAGAAAGCCTGTCCTTGTCCTTCTTTGTCCATCATAAATCCCACGTGACATGACTTGGGATTGAACTCTGTACCNGGGTCAAGAATTTTCTCCAAGTCGTCCAGACGGGCTTTGTGTCCCACCCGGCCACCTATCAAGTGGATACCGGGGGTAAAGCGGCAGGGGCGTGAAGCTGGCCACTCATTTCTAACTGGTGTTGAGGTCACTCCGTCGGTCACGTAGCCGAGCGGTCTAAGGCATGCACTGTCTTCGCTCGCTCGGAAGCCGGGATCGTGGGTTCGAATCCCACTCAGAGCATGGATGTGTGTGTGCGTTTTTCTGTGTTTGTGTACAGGTAGAGGCCTTGCGACGAGCTGATCACCTGCCCAAGGGTCCTACGGAATGTGTAAGATCTAGGAAAACTGAAGCGAACGGAGAATTTCATGGAGGCAGGCCTAGGCCCAATGGGGCTGTAGTGCCAAGGAAAAAAAAAATACATCCACTCCCCCATACGTCTTCATGGCGTGGTACTTGAAGCACAGGGACAACTTTACCTTTAGTAGTATTTTTTTATTATTGCTGGTGGAGTGGGACTAAGTCCCTTGTACTACGATCACCTCTGACCTATTGTTCCAGCACCAGATGATAGGTGAGGGTGATTGTGGAACAATTGGTGGAATGAAGATTGGCAGTGGTAACCATGGCCATAGTGCGGCTGGAAGGATTACATTATTTGAAAAATCCAGTTACCTCATCGGGATTCGATCCTGCGACCATCCGACTTGTAGCATAGTGCCTCGACCAACTACGCTACCGCGTATAGTAGCAATAGTAATAGTGATAGCTCGTTCGGTATAGCGACAGGCTACGGCCTGGACGTTACATTCCCAGCAAGGGGCAAGGGCTTATTATCTACTCCACAGCGTCTAGACTGGATCTAGGGGCCCTACCCAGCCTCCTATGCAGTGTGTACCCGGGGATATTTTCCCTCAGGGTAAAGTGACCGGTGCGTGAAGGTGACCACTCACCTCCAACTATTTCCAAGGTCAAGAATATGTGTATCTATACATTCACTCCCCCGTACGTAATTATGGCGTAGTGCTAAACTAACCTCAAATACAGAAATTCAGTTTCAAACTTCATTGTTATGTTCGCAGGGGCTGTTCTTCTACGTACCTGGAGCCCGAACCGCCGCCTCCCCCTCCGCCTTTTACCCAGCAACGGGATATCGCACACCTAGCGACCCGGTACCTGGAGGACAATGTAAGGACGTGGATTAACCCAAGAATATACGCAAAGGTAAGTGAATTATATAGTAGCTATAGACCGGTAAGGAGGAACACGTCTCTCTTAGACATCTGAAGTGATTTGAAGGTGTGTTTTTCGTCCTAAATTTAGGTAGTACCCAAATAATGTTGTTCAGACTTTCATCGAAACAGATTGTTCTTCTGTAGGCCTCCACACAGACACACACGCACACGCACACACACAACACAACACAACACAATACAGCACAACACAATACAGCACCACGCAACACAACGCAACACAACATAACTCCACACACAACACAACAGTGCAGCACAAAACACACACACAAGTGTAATGTGGCGGTGATATGGAAGCTCCGAAATTACGCAATTTAGGGTTAACATAACAACGAATTGTAGAGTCTTAACACGTTTCATGAACGTAAGTCATGTATTGAGTCACGTACGAGCAAGAAGTCTTTGGTTTGACATGATGTCTAATGGAATAATTGTGCGTGCTATTCGAGGGAGTGGGAGTTAAATTTCGATCTCGACGTTTCATTCGATAACATGTAGGACTGGAAAGGAATGTAGGAGAAAGAGGGGAGATCAACGGTAGGAAATTTTATGTCAGAAATGATGAGACTTTCTGTGGAATTGTAAACGGCTGTTACACTCCTGTCCTGTGGACAGATTTAGAGTCACAGCCGTGACTGTGAAGAATACTATCTTATAGGATGTGACGCCGTGAAGTCTGGTAAAGGCTTGCCAAGAAACGTGCAGTCACCATGTTCAGAATCTAAATGTAAGTCTGACAAGGAATTCGCCAAGCTTGCTATTTATATCTTGCTGGATACTTGCCAGCCTTATTCAAAAACCCTGAAGTTGGAGGAAGTGTATTCCTCCGAAACTGCGGTTAACGTCTACCAGACTACACTGCGTGACATCCTCGAAGACTATGTTCTTTATAGCCAGTACCTTATGAACTTCAAATGTCACAATTTCCCCATCGTTGCTAGGCGACGGCACGATAGAAGCGTTACCGCGGAAACGAATACACATGCAACAGTAGAATTGTTGGGCGCGTCGTATTCCTTGCGCCACCTCTGTGGTCTAGTGGTCAGAGTTTCTGCTTACAGATCCAGAGGTCCGGGCTCGATCCCCGGCGCTACCAGATTTTCTGAGAAGTAATGGGTCTGGAACGGGGTCCAGTCAGCGTCGTGAGGATAATTGAGGAGCTACTTCAAGGAAATAGCGGCTCCGGTGTAGAAGACCGAAATTAACGGCCGTGGGGATGCGTTGCGCTGACCATGCGACACCCTCAATCCGCTAAAGTTGGCACTAACTTCGCCGACAAGCGGCGGTCGCTCGGTCGGTATAGTCCGCTTGAGGACTACAGGCCACGGAGTTTGTATGTTTGTTCTCTTTTTTACACGTGTATCAAAGGAAAGTAGGCTTTTAGTACTTCACAGAACTTCTTGTTTTGTGGACTTTTTACGACGATATGAATTTAAAAAAAGCGACCGTGGCCTAATTTAGGTACTGTCGCGGGATTTAGGCGAAGGACTGAAGAAAGCTTCGACAAGGTTCAATATAGCCAGCTTCCAGTTCGAGATTCGAACCCAGCACCATACCGGCACAAGTTTTAAGGTGTCATCGCTACGCTAACCTGTTCGGGCAAAATTCTGTTTTTTTATATTATTATAGAATTGTTAATCAACATATTCAGTACCAACGTAAAATATTTCTTATTTATGTCAAATTAAAGAAATAGAAATGTCGCATTTACTTACAGCGATGTGCTGGATGTATTGTGTGACCGTTTGGGGCGCCCCGGTGTGGGAGTTTTATGTAACTTGTTAAGTGGGGACCTGGAGAAGAGAAGATTCATCCACGTGACTTATCAGCATCCGTGACACGACCACCAATTCGACAATTTACGAGTGCATCTGACATGTAGCCATTGTCTGCTAAGGAATGCAGCCCGATGTGTTTCAGGATGGCCAGAAAATTTAGGGAGACCACCCGATGCACAAGTTTTGTTATTTCAACAGCGTTTCTCTCATTTGGACAAGGAATTATGTATCCGCCTGGCCTTTCTATTTGCCAATGTATTCACACGGCTTCACTGCTATACACGTCTTTAGCCGTAATTGATGTCCTCCTTTGAAACAAAGGAAGTTTATTTGGAAATAAATTATGATCAGTAAGCAGCCGAGTGACTCTCAGTTGCAGCTGCCATAATTTGGCTGTAAGATCTGCAGAGGTGAAGCTAACTGACCGACTGACCATTCAAATATTGGCTGCTTCCATCGATACCTTGCATTGACCACAACATTTTTTTTCCTGTGGCGCTACAGCCCCCAATTTGGGCCTAGGCCTACCTCCATGAAACTCTCCGTTCACTTCGGTTTACTAGATCTTACACATTCGGTAGGACTACTTGGGCGAGGGATCAGCTCGTCGCAATGCCTCTACCTGTAGACAAACACAGAATAATCGCAGACATACATCCATGCCTTGAGTGGGATTCGAACCCACGAGCGAGCGAAGGCAGTTCACGCCTTAGATCGCTCGGTCACTGTAATCGGCAAATTACAGCTCATATTAACCCGTAATTGGAGCCGATCAGCATAGCGGTAACCCACTAACTGACTGACTGACTTCGCGAAGCTGAGTCCGTCTTTAATGCGTGCGAGTTATTCAGCTGCCGAAGCAAATCCCCTACATTCTGTGGAATCTCAAGGTTCATTACCACGTTCACGAGAGCTTTCCACTAGTCCCTATCCTGAGCCAGATGTATCCACTTGATACCACCGTATGTAACCCTCTACGCTCGGTATTCTGGAGGTTCTTGGTTCGGATCTCAGCAAGGACAACACCTATCCTGACAGGTGTTTCATGGTTGTCCTCAGTTCCTCTAGGCGAATGCGTGATAGCACTTCGCTTCTTCCTATTCCTTGGTCCGTGCAGTACCCTACATCGCTATTCAGCCTGGCTAGTGACTCATGCTTACTCATGCAGCTGAGCCCTTCTGGAGGAGCCACCAGTTCTGCAGCTACTCAAAAATTTCCCAGCATTTCATGGAACCCGAAGGTTCATTACCGTGTTCACAAGAGCCCTCCACTGGTCCCTATCCTGAGCCACATCAGTCCAATCCATACCATCCTATCTCTCTAAGATCCAGTTAGTGACAGCACCGTAAACTAGGGCAGCAGAGTAATCCTGACCTTTCGTAGCTGCATGCAGGCTCAGTTCCCGCGGGACTCACATATTCACAATATTCAACTGTGAAGGGTGGCAGAATACCTATATATATGGCGCCCATCGTCTCGCATTCCTAATTGAATTATTTTAGCATAATCCCTAATGAATATTTAAGATGTGCACATTAATATGAACTTTAGTCTTCATGGGTCGATGCCTTTAACCCTAGCTTTCTCCCGTAAGGAAGGAGAAGATTCTATGTTCATTCTACTAGAGACCGTCCCTGGGACCCATACAGTCTATTGAACAATGGGTACCAGGGACATTTTCTCCGCCTTTTAGGACAGGTTGAGAATGCATGGAGCTGTACCGTGACTCCTCCATACGTATTCATGTGCCATTCATAGAACACATGGAGCAGAATAAGTCGCGTGGTAAAGCCGAGTGACTGTTACACGGAAATGAAGTTCGAACCTACTGCAGACTTCCGTGAGAGTGGTGTTTCCTGTTTCCCCGCAGAGCCGATTGGTGACGGCGCGTCTTTCTAAACGTTTACTTCAGCGTCCATGAATTATACGTCATTGGATTAGGGTGCAACAGTAAGTAACGACGAAACAAGCGCGATGCATATCCGATGCTGAACTAAGAAATAGACTGAGGGTGTTCGAGAACAGGGTGCTCAGGAGAATATTTCCACCCAAGAGGGATGAAGTGACAGGAGGTTGGAGAAAACTTCATAATGAGGCGCTTCATAACTTGTACTCTTCGTCAGATAGAATGATCAAGGCATGAAGGATGAGATTGTTAGGGTATGTAGCACGCAGGTAGAGAAGAGGAAGGCGTACGGGGTTTGGTGGGAAAGCTGGATCATCCTAAGGCAGTTTATATGATATATCGCTCGTTATTGAAATTATATTCTAATTTCCGTGGCATGTAGTCCGAAAGCGATTTATATTGACCGAGCGACCGCCGCTTGTCGGCGAAGTTAGTGCAAACTTTAGCGGATAGAGGGTGTCGCGTGGCCAGCGCAGCGAATCCCCACGGCCGTTAATCTCGGTTTTCTATACTGGAGCCGCTATTTCTTTGAAATTGCGTCTTAATTATCCTCACGAGGCTGAGTGGACCCAGTTCCAGACGCACTGCTTCTCAGAAAATCTAGTAGCTCCTAGAATCGAACCCGGGACATCTGGATCTGTAGACAGGAACTATAACCACTAGACCACAGAGGCAAAGTAACTTAAATTTCGTTACCGATTTCTACGTCTCATTATATTAAGAATTGTAATATTAGCCACAAAGGTTAAAACTTTCTTTCAAATCTGTCAGAATTTTTATTTTTTTACTATTAATTATTAATTTTACACCGAAATTATTTTGAAATGAAGTAAATGTCCGTGGTGATACGTCGCTGAGTAGAGGGTAGTTTCTTATCTTGGGAGTGGGCGTTGTGTTTACCGCCACCTATGAACCGATTGTGTAGATAATGTGGGGAACCTCAACGTCTCACAACCCTATGGACCTTTACGGCCTGGTACAGGGATAGCTTTACTTGACTTTTTTTACTTTGTCCTGACGTAACGAAAATTTGGAATGTATCAGCAAGGAAGACACTCTACAGTGCCATCAGCGATATACAATTGCTAATATTTTATTGTTATGTTCTGTTCAACAGAAAATCTCCCATTCGCCCTTGTTCTTCATATTCGAAGCCCCGCGATATTGAAATTTGGATGATCATCGTCAAATCTGTTCTAATTTCCTATTATATTGGAAGATCTGGATTATACCTTCCCAGCAATCGCATGACCCACCGGTCTACAAATGATAGATGGGCCGCTAGAC